TCCCCCCCTTCATTTTTCCCTTCTTACTATCTTCTTCTTTCTTTTAACATATAATGTATTGTTTCAAAGGTACAGGTCTATGATTCAACAGTCTTACACAATTCACAGCGCTCACCCTATCACATACCCTCCCCAGTGTCTATCACCCAGCCACCCTATCCCTCCCACCCCCCACCACTCCAGTAACCCTCAGTTTGTTTCCTGAGATTAAGAATTCCTCATATCCGTGAGATCATATGACATCATTATTATTTTTATTTCATTTCTTTCTTTTATAGGTTGTTTCTGTCTCTTTGCTTGCCTCCTCCGGACTGGACTGTTGCTTTACTGGGCAGTCTCTTCTGTTCTTGATTCAGATTTTGCCCCATCATGCTAGCTTTTGGATTTCCTAAGATTTTGTTCTCTATAATGCACAGGTCAATCATGCCCCACTTGTATGGACAATGAAATATAAGTAGAATAGCCCAAAGTCGGGCTCCAAGTGCAGCTTGGTTGGTGACAGTGCAAAATCACTAACTAGAGAAAGGCTAACAATTCCCATGACTCCTGTTGAAAGTCATAGTAGACTATTATGAAGATTTTATTAATGGCCAAAAAGAGGTCACATTTTTTATTTAAATTCAGGATCCTGAAACAGGCATAACCAATTCTTATCCATAAAGATATGTCATAATGTTTGGGTAAAGATGGCTTATATTCATAGCAACAGAGCGAACTTTGAGCCAAATACTTGGAAAAGTATTTCCAGACTGACACAGATGTTCAATTTGCATACCAAGGCTCTGAAAACCTGTTGATGGGCAGCTTTGTGGACAATGCATTCTGCACAAAGAGTTGGTTTACTGGATCATTATCCTTGTTTTAAAAAAAAAAAGCCTCTGGATTGTGTCCTCTATGAGTTCTGGGTCTGCAAAGGGTGATTATACCACGATGCAGGGTTGAAACAGGCTATATTTCAGTAATGGGCTTTCAATACATCACAGAAAGGGAATGGATAGTTAAGTGAAACGTGTATACACACAACACTCATTTCAGTAGGAGAATGCAAAGCCTGAGTCCCCTGGCACCTTCATACAGCCGTGTCGTCTTCTTAGCTTCTCTAGCATTGGGTTCTTACAGACCAACCAGATATTCTTTCTTTTACAGGCACTGTCTACTAGACAACGAGCTCCTCAAAACCAGGGCCCGATGGAGGTCTTGCTCATTGAATGCATCTCTGCAGCCTGGCACAAAAGCAAGCGCACAGAACATGGGCTTCAAAGCCAGCCAGCCACCTATGCTTCCACCAACTTTGAAAGAGAACTTGAGGCAGCTAGGTATAAAACAGCCACATACTAAGAAACGGAAACAATGGGGATTTGCATCCAGAGCCAGCTTTGGATCTGATCGGTTATCATTCGGTTGAACATTTGGAAGAGCTGGTATGGGAACGAGACCACAAACAGACGATGTGAGATTGGCTAACTGAGCCTAGGTCTCCTTTTCTCTTGCCTTCCACATGCAATCCTTCCAAGGCTTGTCGATCTCCTGACCTCAGTTCTCAGTTATCACTGCCCCTGTCCTCCTCATTCAAGCCCCCATGGCTTTCTGTCTGTGGACTAACCGACTAAAACCGGTCTCCCCACCTTCAGCCGTGTGCCCTCAGGCCTTCTTCCTCACGGCTGCTAGCCAGAGTTTGTACAACTGAGATCTGAACATGCACTGCTTCCCCTTGGTCTACCAGACAGAGATCAGTTCCTTAGCCTGTTCTCCAGGGACTTCTTCTTTTTTTTTTTTTTTTAAAGATTTTATTTATTTATTTGAGACAGAGAGAATGAGATACAGAGAGCATGAGAGGGAGGAGGGTCAGAGGGGGAAGCAGACTCCCTGCCGAGCAGGGAGCCCGATGCGGGACTCGATCCTGGGACTCCAGGATCATGACCTGAGCCGAAGGCAGTCGCTTAACCAACTGAGCCACCCAGGCGCCCCTCCAGGGACTTCTTATGATGTGGTCCCTACCCCAGCTCTCTAACTTTTATTGTCAGTCTTTCTTCTAAGAACAGTTTATGCCACAGCTGAGATGCTGGACTATGTGCCATCATCTCAAATAAGCCTTGTTATTTGTCACTCCCATATCTTTGTTCCTACGCCAGTTCTCCTGCCTAGAGGAGTATCTCTACCCTTCTTTGCCTGGTTGGTCTCTATTTACCTTTTAAGACTCAACATAACTGCTTTCTCCCCTGCAAAAAGTTTTTTTTAACCTAGCTGTACGCCAGCTCTGTGCTTTGTCCCCCTGGTACAGTACTCATCTCACTTTTATGGGTCTTCTATCTTCCCTATTAGACAACCCCATGAATTCATCAAATTTTTATCAACTACCTTCTATGAACCAGGCACTGAGCTGGATGCAAAGAAAAGTAGGATATGGCCCTTACCTTTAAGGAGCTCACAGATTTCTGGAAATAGCAAGTTAGTAAACCAATAAGAACATAGAATATTATAAGTAGAGTTGTGTCTTAAAGGACAAGTAAAATTATCTAAGTGGTAAAGAGCTCTCTGAGCAGGGAAAGAAACACATCCAAAGGCAGAAGAGTAGAATAACATAAGTCATGGGGAAGCTGTGGGTAGGGTAATCTAGCCTCAGTGACAAGTACATGTGTGGGATTGAGGGGATGGACCATGAGAGGTATGACGTGCCCAGAAAACTATCTGAATGATGTCCTCAAGGCTATGGAGAACCACTAAAGGATTTCAGCTGGTGACTTACGTGGTCCTTTTTACAAAGTAGAATATCACTTTCACTGCCATGGAAAAAAAAAGGATTTTTGTGTGAAAGGCGACAAGATGGGTTAGTCATCATTGCCTGGACCAACATTTATTCCTTTGGCAAATGCATGCTGACTATGCACCATATGTTGACAAAGCTAAGTTTTCTGATATAGGAACCTGCAAATCTTCCAGATCCTGGGTATATGGGTAGTGCGACAAAATAGGCTGGTCAAGGTTATAAAAACATTTGGAAAACAGTGTGGAGGTGCCTCAGATAAAAATAGAGCTACCCTATGACCCAGCAATTGCACTACTGGGTATTTACCCCAAAGACATAGACGTAGTGAAAAGGAGGGCCATATGCACCCCAATGTTCATAGCAGCAATGTCCACAATAGCCAAACTGTGGAAAGAGCCGAGATACCCTTCAATGGACGAATGGATAAAGAAGATGTGGTCCATATATACAATGGAATATTACTCAGCCATCAGAAAGGATGAATACCCAACTTCTCCAACAACATGGATGGGACTGGAGGAGAGTATGCTAAGTGAAATAAGTCAAGCAGAGAAAGTCAATTATCATATGGTTTCACTTATTTGTGGAACATAAAGAATAGTATGGAGGACATTAGGAGAAGGAAAGGAAAAATGAAGGGGGGAAATCGGAGGGGGAGATGAATCATAAGAGACTATGGACTCTGAGAAACAAACTGAGGGTTTTAGAGGGGAGGAGGGTGGGGAGATGGGTTAGCCCAGTGGTGGGTATTAAGGAGGGCACGTACTGCATGGAGCACTGGGTGTTATATGAAAACAATGAATTGTGGATCACTATATCGAAAACTAATGATGTATTGTATGGTGACTAACATAACATAATAAAATAAACTTTAAAAAAAAATTTAGACCCATATTAAGAAAGTGTCAACTTACTAGTTTTCCAGTAACGCTCTGACCACCTTCATTCAGCCAGAACCCAGGGACCATGGCTGAGAAATAAGGGCCCCAGACACCTGGTACAAAAATTGGGTCTTTGCTGATCTGAAAAGAAAGAGGCAAAATAGATGAAAATAAGTGATGCTCAGGGCTAGAAGAAGCCTTAACCTCCTCCCATCCGGTTTCTATGACCGTGAAATTCAACTTCTCATTAAATACCTTCTTTGGTAAGAAAGTCATTCCTTCCAAAGGAAGGGCATGGCTTCATCTTTGGAGGCCTTCTTGATAAATTCATTTAGATGTCAGGGTAGCAAAAGAGATCATTTTGGAAAGAAACTAATGAGACATTTCCTTGCTGGCTCCCTCTCTGTGGTAGACTCATTGCAAAAATGGTCCCCATTCTCCTTCCTCCATGAATCCAACCTCTTTGCAAGGAGACTTTGCGACTCCTCTCATTGACAGGTGGAGTCCCCACCCCTTGAATCTGGGTCAGCCTTGTGACTTGTTTTGGCCAACAGAATGAGATGGAAGTAACACTGTGTCAGTTTTCCAGGCTTAGGCCTGAAGAGGACTGTGTGCTTCTATTCTTTCCCTTGGTTCTCCACCTTTGCCAGAAGAGCCCAGAGTAACCTGCTGGATGGAAGGACAAGCAACAGAGCTGAGTCAGCCCAAATGTAGCAAGCGACGTCTGACATATAAGAGACAGACCAAACAAGATCAGCAAATCATCCTAGTCAACAAGCACTAACAAGTCCAGATCACAGAATCACCCAGCTAACTGGCAGACCTGTAAACAAAAATTCATGTCTTGTACGTCACTAAGATTGTGTGTTTGTCACCTAGCATTTCTGTGGTAGATAACTGATACATTCCCTTCCTTCTACAAACACTTACTAGTCACAACTATTAGCATGCCATCTCCCTCTCTTGGGTGCTGGAGATAAAGAGATGAATCAGACAGAGTTCCTATCTTCAAGCAGCTACTCATCTAGAGGGGCGCTTTACAAGTAAATAGACAAATAGGATACAGTGTGGCCCACGGGATGATAAAGAGAAAACATAGAATGTTATGGAGGGACAGAGGGGGCAAGGCGTGAATGGTCTGAGAGAACAGGACATAGATGTAGGATTGAGCCAGGCATGATAGATCAAGGGAATGGCTTGAACAAAGCCATGTAGGTGAGGGAGAGGTGCTCTTAGGATTTAAGACACTATGTTCCACAGAAGTCCTTTCAGGTGTTAGGAGAATATACCAAAACATGAACCAGGACAGACAAGGAAGGACCATGTGTTCACTCATCTGGAATGGCACATGCTTCTCATCCATCTAGTAGGGATGCATGCTGAAGTCATATTTCTGGTTGTGGAGAGGTGTAGTTAGAGGGTGGGGAGGAAAAGGGAGTGAAGCATACCAGGTCTAGTCCCACATGTCTTCTGGACAGGTAGGAAATCTATTTATTCATTTATCCTACAAATATTTATTCAGCCCTTATTATATACTTGGTACTATGTCACATCCTGGGGATATAGAATTGAACTGAATATTCATGATTTCTACCTCCATGAAATTTATAGCCCAGCATTTTAGCACCGGAACAAGCTTTCTTTAAATGTCTTGACCCCCACTATTCCAGTTCCCTTTTCACTAAACTAGTGAGTCCTCAAATCAGTGGGATTTCCAACCCTCAAATATGAAGAAAGTGAGGGAACTACACAACACTGTCAACTTTAAATTTTGTGAAATAAAGATAACCTATAAAAAGGGACATTTAGCACCTAAAATAGGAATAATGTCAGGGAAAAAGGAAAGACTTTTACAAGAAAAGACAGTTTGGCTTACAATGACATATTCACTCATTTCCTTATTGGTTTAACAGATGTTTCCTGAATTCCTTATGTGGTATAAGCCTGTGCCAGGCACTGGCAATGAATGTGAAATAAAACAGCATGGTCCCTGCCCTCATGAAGCATTCTGTCTTGAGATGGGGTCAGATGAGAGTGGCTAATCCTTCAAGTTTGGCCAGGAATCTCCTAGGTTTAGCAGTCAAGATCTTGTGTCCTAGAAAACCATTCAGTCCTGGGCAAACGGGACAAATCACTGGGCACCCTCAGATAGATATTAGTTAGATCACTGCACAGATGTGTAATTATAAACTGTGATAAATAAATGAATGAAAATCAAAAGGTACTACAAGGGCAAATAAGTGAGGTACCTAATTTAGTCTAGGGGTCTCAGAAGGCTTTTTTCAGGAGGCAATATTTGAATTAAGATGTAAACTACACACAGAAGTCACTCAGTAGGTGTGAGGGTATTTGTGTGAGTACATGTGTAAGTGTGTGTAAGTGCGTGTTTGTGCATGTGTGTATGATAATGGAGACGGTTCCCACCAGAAGGAGCACACACTAAATGGTCTTCGTTTTCGTCACTTTGTCTTTGCCCGTGAAAATTTATCACATGCCGTGCCTAGACACTACTCATCCCAGACTGGCTTTGGGGTGAATAAGAAAGCTCATGTTCACAACCACTTAGGACCCAGTGTTTGGGCAGGTACATGGATAACTGCCAAAGTCAAATCATCTCTTATCATGCCCTGCACCCCTTCCCTTCCAGAACTCTTAGCCCTGTTTCAAAGATTAGTCTCAGTGAGCTTGTTGTATAAGACATCCACAGTCACACAGTAACCACCCAAGGTGGGATTTGAACCCAGGCAGATGTTGGACTCAAATCATATGGTATGTTTTATTCTTAACTTTTTATACATAAACTGCTTTGGAAGGTTATGCATCACCCCCCACCTCCACCCCATCTCACAATTTATTTAAACTTGTTCCTGAGTCAGCTGCGGCAGAGCTTCACTGGAAGATGAGGGTCTGCTGCTCAGAAATGTCAGATGAAGGCTTTGCCTGGCTCTGTCCAGGGAGAAAGTTTTGAGCTGATTCCTGTTTGTGCTCACTCGTTTGAAATGGCACATGCTTCTCATCAGACATCTGAGTAAAGCAAGGAAACCAACACACAGAAATATGTTTCCCAGAGCATTTCCAATCACTTCTAAACCCTGTGCTCTTGGAGAAAACAAGTAATAGTTTGTTTTGACAGAGAGAGAGAGAGAGAGGCACATCTGTATGTTTCTGTGTGCTTTACTTCTTTGCAGTAAACCTAAATATTTAGAGATATTTTTGTGAAAGCTCTTTCCCATGCTGATGCCTATCTTGGCCTGGAGGCTGCTTTGTTACCCAAAGAAGGGAGTCCCTTTTATTCCACTGATAACAACTGTCTGTACAGGACGTTGATTTCCAGTCATGGTGATGCTGTTGGCAACAATAGTCAAGATTGACTGGGTACTTACTAAAGGCCTTATTCCAAGCATATTATTGAAATTAAACCACATAACCCTCATAAAAACCCTGAAGGAAGATTCCACCACTATTCCTATTAAATAGATGTACAAACTAAAGCAGAGAGAGTTTAATTCCATGTCCAAGGTTATAAAAATGCAAAGCAGCCAGGCACCACACTCTGCAGGTTCTAAATTTGTCTCTGCCAAAGTATGGTCTTATTTTTAGGCTACCATTGCTTCTTTGAATCCTTCTTTGGCTCCCAAGGGCAGAAAGCAAGGGCCATCACAGCCAACATAGACTCATTCAAATGGAACAAACCTTCTGGCCCTGATAACAAGTTAGGGAATCTGCATTTCTAAAAAGCTTTTGGAAAATTTTCCCCTATAGGCTTGTGAAGAGCGGAGGGAGTTGAGTGTGGGTTGAGTCAAAGACCTATCTCTTCCAGCCTGCGGGATTCCAGCCAGGTGATCTCACACAAGCTCATCTTTCTGGGCCTCAGTTCCCTCAGTTCAAAAAGGGGAGGATTGATAGAAATGTTGGAGGACTTTGGTGAAGATGGAATAAGCCGTCAACTACAAACAGCTTATTATATGTTCAATACCAAATACACGCTGGTTCTCCTTGAAATGAAGCTTGTGATGGAACAGTCAGGGAAAAGATTGAACGACCACAGCAAAAGTAATTACGACCCGGTAAGAAGGTCTCTAGATTTGCCCGTGGTCTAATTTAGTCAATATTCTTAACAATGAAGTAGACCATGATACAAAAGTAAAGCTTATCATATTTTCAGACAGTATAAACGTGGGAGGATATTATGCTCCATATGATGGAGCATGTCCAAATCAAGATTCAAAATTACTTCCAAGAGCTAGAACATTAAGCAAAATACAAGAAACTAGTTAACATTTGTTGAATCGTATGGTTCAACCTTCATACTTAAAAGGTACTGGAAATATTCTCTTCCATAATACTCCTTCTCACGGGTGGTGGCACAAGAGTATTCAATTTGGTAAGGTTTAAACATCATGTAGACATGTGCTATATTCTTTAATTATGTGTGATATAAATAAAATAAAGTTACAGAAACCTGCAATAAAACAAAACATTTGGTTGCACACCATATGCCAGGCACTGAGATCAGCATCAAGCCTATAAAAATAATAAAGTAAAATAATAATAACAATAATAACTACTAATAAGGCATGGCCCCTTTCCTCAAAGGGCTCCTCGTCTTAACCAGGCAGACAAATGGTAGAAATTACAACAAAGCGTGCTAGGTGTTATAGTCAGGTAGGAGAGAAGTGTGGCAGAAACCCAAGCTTTCCAGAGATGGCCACATGTGAGCTAGGCCTGAAGGAAACAACTGTTTCCAGGCTGGGCTCACACTCATGAAGCTGCACAGGCATTTTGGTTTTCATGAAGGCTTACAGTTCTGAATTCTACTTTAACTAAAAGGTCATAAGTTTTGAAGGATAGGTGTATTTTTGCATCAATAGACCCTAGTGCTCATCAAAAATTCAATTTTTTAAAAAGCCATGGCTTTTGAAAAGGAAAAAGTTCCCAGTGAAACCACCCTCTAAGTCAGGCAATGATAGAAAAAAATCACACAGAAATAAGGATAATAATAAGAAATAATAAAAGAGTAATTGCTAACAGTTAACTGCGGGCTTATAAAATGCCAAATACTCTTCTAGGCTCTTTACAGACGTTCTGTCATTTAATACTCATGAAAACCCAATGAGATAGGTCCTATTATTATACTCACC